AGTGTGACTGTAGATGTAGCAGTGTCAAAATGGTAAACAATCTAACACTACTATAGTCTATTTATTTATTTATTTATTTATTTATTTATTCAACATCTTATGGCTTCCGATGGCAGCCAAAACGGGAAGATGTGGGTGATAGCCAACCATGGTAAAAGAAGGAGAAGATTATATACATGAAAAGGAAACAGCCGAAAAGCTATATTGATTAGTTTTTACTTGCAAGTATTATTATTATGGTGCACTCAGTCATCAGCAGGCCCTCAGATTCACTTTAAATTCTTTCAATGATGCAGAAGTCTTCACTGATTCGGGAAGTTGTAGCCATGCACAGTAGCCCTGGAAGAATGGCGATCTTGTGAATTGCGTTGACTTGGCCTTGGGAAGAGACACTTTGTTTCTGGTTGAGCGGCCCAAAACAAACCAGTTATAAAGCTTTATATGTTCAGGAACACAACCCAAGAGCATTCGATGAACCAATATACAGAGGCAAGTTAGTCGGCGTTGCTCTAACGGAGTAGTCTGAGCTAATAAGTACAACTCATTGGAGGGAAAGGAAGGTTTCTTCGAGAACAAAATTTTTAGAACTTTCTTATGATGAACTTCAATGGAATCGGATAAGACCTTAGCTAGGCCACACCAGGCTGTGGCAGCATATTCAAACAATGGAAGGAGATAAATTTTATATATAGCGGAACGGCACGGAATAGAGAGATGTTTAGAATGACTTTTAATATAGCCAAGAGCACGGCTGACTTTATTACAAATGTAATCTACATGAGCCGACCAGGACATGGATGAATCGAACATTACCCCTAGGTGTTTGTGCTCCTTTACCGTCTGAATTTCTGTGGGTGAATTGGGAAAGGTGAACTTAAACATTGAGGCAGAATCTGTTAGAAACAGTACTCTGGTTTTTGAAACGTTTGCCTGAAGCCTCCAACTGGACATCCAGGTGACAATCATATTTATCGCGTCTTGCAACTCTGACTCAAGCTGTTTGACAGTTTTACAGTGGCGCAAAGCAGCTGTGTCGTCAGCAAACAATGACATTCCAGAAACATGACTTGGTAGATCATTAACATACAAAACAAAAAGCAATGGTCCAAGAATTGAGCCCTGAGGCACCCCCGACAGCACGGGTAGCTTTGGAGAGTCTGCTCCCGACACGGACACAAACTGGCTTCTCCCAGAAAGATAGCTCTTTATCCACTTCAACGGTGTGTCAGAGATGTTAAATATGACTTGAAGCTTCCTCAAGAGACCTCTATGCCACACTGTGTCGAACGCCTTTGCAAGATCGAAGAAGCAAATGCCCGTGTACAACTTTTCTGCTCTTGCTCCGATAATGTCCTGTACAAGGCGAGTCAGCTGCAGTGAAGTTGAGTCTCCACGACGAAAGCCAGACTGAGCAGGGTGAATGGCAGGGGCAACATGGCTATACAACTGATCATAAAATATTCGTTCACATAATTTTGAAATGCATGATAAGAGAGAGATTGGCCTGTAATTTCCAGGAGTAGCTTTACTACCTTTGCCCTTAAATATCGGCGTTATTTTGGCCACTTTCCATGTCGATGGAAACTTCCCTTTTCTGAAAGACAAATTAAATAGAAGACATAAAGGATATGATAATGATGGTGCTAGAGCCTTAACAACTTCATTGGAGATGCCGTCCACACCAGGCGATTTGTTAAGCTTAAGCTTCGCAATAGCTTTGCGCACTCCAGCTGTGGTTATTATCGGAGCACGAAACGCATTCGGGAGGCAAGGGTGTTGGTCTAAGGACGGCAATGGTATGCGCGGGTCGTCAACAACCGCCACTGATGCAAATTGCTCGTTCAAAGCTGCAGCTTTAGCTGCAGGGTCTGCTGCCAACTTTCCATTTGATGCGAGGTCAGGTATTCCAGGGCTATTTCCCGAAGATCTCTGCATGCGAATGAATTTATGCAAAGAAGGGTGATTACTGGTATCGCAAATCAGGACCTGCAGTTTTCGGATATACTCACGGTGACATTTCCGGGACAGCGACCTCACAATATTTCGTTGCTTTTTAAACAGATATTTGTTGACAGGACTTGGGTACTTCCTACTCCGACTGTGAAGTTCCGCCTTGTGACGGATAGCACCTTTCAATTCCGCATTAATCCAGGGCGGACGTTGTTTCGACAGGCGTGATCTCCCTGTATCCCTGATGGAGCAACGGTCATAGTGCTGCACACTAATGTGCTGCGTAAAGATGCGGTCTAGAACAGTCTGAATATTTGCAAGTGATTCGTCCACATCTGACGTAACAACCGTATGCCAGGCAACTGCCGCTAGATCATCATTAATACCCGCCCACGTGGTAGGTGTCACTCTCTTAAAATTGTACTTACGGGCAGAAGATGACTGCACAAAATCCCTGGATGAAGCACAAGAGGGAAGCGGGTCCATGGGGATATCAAACTGGCATGAAACGAGGAGGTGATCCGATGCACCCAGAGCACAGGCTGTGTCTATGGACGACACTAGTTGGCTACGATTGCTGAAGATGAGGTCCAAGCATGCCTGGTTGCCTGAAGGTGCGGTGTGCGTGTTTGTGGCGACCAGTTGGTGAAGACCAAAGCAGCCAAACTCTCGTTGTATTGCAGCACCAGCAGGGCATGTATGGTCTGTTGAGCACCAGAGGCTGTTTTTTCCATTCAAATCTCCAGCAATGATGACGTGAGAGGACGATACAGGAATCATCCTGAGAGAATCACCAATCATGTCGCAGTAGCGAGTTATGTCCAAGCTCCTGGTTGAAGGCGGTCGATACGTACAGCAAACGACAATTGGTTCAGTACGGCTTGACCTGGGCGTGAGCTGGACCCATACAGCCTCACACATAGGACGGAGTAGACCCGGCCGATATCGTATTGATCTAAAACGGTGTTCTAGAACAAGGATTGCAACACCACCGTATGCCCGGGAGGTAGTGCCAGACTTGTTTTCACAAGGCGGTCTGTCTCGCCGATAGGTTAGGTACCCCGGAATACAGAAAGGTATAGTAGGCTCTAGCCAAGTTTCAGTTAAGCAAATCACATCAGGGTGGTGTTGTTCGACGATTACGGACAATTACGGACAATTCAGCATGTTTATTGACAACTGAACGGCAGTTTGTTGTATACAATAGGAGCTTCTCGAAGCTAGTCTCCTTCACTTGCTCGGCTGGATGACGCAGAGGAGCATACGGCCTGGCATTGGGGTAAAGGTTAGAACAGACACAGGATTCGGGAAAGAAGAAGAATGGCGCTGCATCTGGGTTCAACGCAGCCACGGAAGGAGAGAGCAGTCACTGAGCAGCGATGTCCGCAGACCCCCCCACCCCGTCACTGAACCTCCATGGCCGAACAGCATGCTGAATAGTCTCCGGCCAGAAAGAGTCACCCATCACCCGATTGGTGGTCTCCTCAGGTACGGTAAGTCTTGCGTAGGAGGCGCCAAAGTACCGCGATGTGGCTACGGAGCATGCAAGCACCTCTACATCTCGCTCTTTACACCAGTTGACAATAGATGTCGCCTCACAGCCAGGAGTGATATTGCCGATGAAGAAAACCTTCCTCCGGGTTCGCACGGCTCCGGTTAGCACGTTCGGAGAGGTATTAACGGGTGTGGGCTTTTGATAGGCAGAAGTGACAGTCCTGGTCAGGGCCTCATTACGGGTGGTTGAAGCGGTAGCAGTCGGGGCTGTGTCAAACTTGTTGCGATGTCGCCGCCGATTGACATCCCGCCAACCGGAAGCAGTAGAACTACCGGCCCCAGGACCAGTGCGAACAGAGTCAGGACGAGCAGATGCAGCAGCAGCAGCACAAGAACCCACAGTCCCCTGCAGAACAGCGCTATACGGAGGCTGAACTCGAGAGCGGGACTCCACCGGCAGAGGCCTAAAAATGGCTGGGGGTGGTGAGGAAGCAGGCTCCTGCGCATGAATACGAGATTCAGACTCTGAGGCGTAAACGTCTTCCTTGAGAGATCCAAGTGAAGCAAGACGGAGAGCCTCTACTTCACTCTCGAGGTGTATGACTCGTGAGTCCAGACTTGCTACAACAGACGCCTCCCGTCGCCTATCAGCTCTCATAGCCGCCAGCTCAGCTGAAACGCAACCCACAGCATGCACCAATTCATCAAATTTGCCCGTGACGACGCTATCAAGACCAGACTGCACAAGATAGTCTATAGTGTATTTTATATTGTACAGGTATAGATAGACCTGTAGACTTTTTCAAATATTTAAAATTTTGCTTTGAGCGTTTTGACATCTACATTTGTATCTTGGGGATACTGGTCAGGCAGTACCTCCAATTTTCCTCACATAAATCTAGGTGATTGGACAACAAACACCCATTTTTACACACAAAGTAATCAAATATTTAATGTAGTATAGATGTGGGTTGACACCAGGGGTCTACATGACATTATCTACCATTGAACGCATTAGACATGTAGTACGAATTTCCAGTCTGACAACCATCACTGAATGAGTGGTAAAATAACAACTTTTAGCCATGGTAAAAAGTAATAATAGTACAGTGCTGCTCAATGAAAGCCAGTCTACAGTCGGGTCACTGAAGACAAGTTTGCGACTCGCATCATTTCACAGACCATTGACATTGTACAGTGGTGTTGGCAGGTGTTCCGTGTAGGGCTGGGCAACGCCTGACGCGTACTTGAGGGATGCGACTGGAGTTCATTGAGCAGGACTGAACAATGACAGACATACTCTACAATCACAGCACACCCGACCAAACCTGGCACCATGGACACCCGACCTGGACTTTGCAGGTCTGGAGCGGAGCAGGGAGTTGTATAAACACGACTCCGTGGTCTGGAGTCGACAGTCTGGACAGGGCAAGACAGGAGGAGCATGCATGCAAGCGCAGCATCTCGCTACTTGTAGTCTGTGTGATAGATCCACTGTCACTGTGTGGTAGATGGTAGATGTAGATGATTCACACATTCACGACCCTGGTCTGGGTAACTTTTCACACACTGCTGCTGTTGATGTGTTGGTGTGTGTGTTTCCGAGCGAGTGAAACAAGTTTAGAAAAGAAATATTACCTACTCGATAGTTTCAGTCACAAGCATATTTGCTAGCGTTGCAACGATATTCGTGCTAGCGCACTTCCTCCGAGTCTGCTAAGTGTCGGAGCAATGGCGGTCAAACCCCCAGGCTCAATGCCCTGGCGCAAATCACGTTTTCAACGAAAAGGATATCCTCCGGAGATTTTCCAGGACGCGAAATTTCGCGAGAAGAAGTACCTTTGCTCACATTGTCACCAGGTGCTTGACCAGCCGCGTAGTGGTCCGTGTGGTCACCGCTACTGTCGACTTTGCCTTGAAGACCGCATAGATCGGTAAGTTGTGACTGCTAGCGTTTCTCCTATTTCGAGTGTTTCCAGGCTTGAACCTCTCCTATTGTCGCAAGGCTATCGTGTGATTATCCGCTCCTGCATGTATTGTGTTGTGTAATAGTCTATACTATATGTAATGTGATTCCTGTGTGAGCAGAACTAAGTCTACTGTACTACTTGTATCGTGATGTGGATCAGGTTGGCGATTATCGTTTTCCGCGATTACGTTCATTCAAACTACAATGAAAGTTGAAGTATCCATTTTAGTGCAGCTAACAAGGAAATGGAAACTCATTCGCACAGCCGCATGTATGCGCTGTAGCGCGCTGGTCGAATCGGATCAACATGTGCACTGCACGCCACACGTGCTGAGGGCGCCGGTCAATCTATGTCCGCTACAGTAGTAGACAGCATGGTGTAGATACCATAGTGTGTTTACTACAGTCTAGTGATGCTCTGTACCACCAGTGACTGGGTGGTGCACACACAGCAGCATACAAAGGAAATCGCTGGTGCTTTGTTGCGAAGAATAATCTCTATTTCTGGCTTTGTAAACTGCAAACTTATGCCTGGTCCACACTCGTCGGATTTTTCGGCCGATATCGGGTTGTACGACTAGTTTGCTGGATCAGCAAAATAAAATACAAAATTGCAAGACGTGGACGGTTCGGTCGACGGTTCGGTCACACGCGTTTCCGATAAATTTGTGTGTGCATAGGCAGTCCAACCCAGTCAGCCGATTATATTGCAGGGTCGGTGTCAGAACGCTGGCCAAAAAACAGTCCGATTGCGGGTCAGGCATAACTCAGTGTGTTTTGCGTACTCAAACTTCTGGTTGTGTAAACTTAGCGGTACTTTGCAAACTACCAATAATATATTCTTGTTTGTTTGTGTGTGTGTGTATGTGTGGGTGGGGTTGTGTGTAGGGTATACATGTCTATATCAGTGAGTAAATGGTTTGGGTGAATGGTGTAGTGTGTAAACTTGATCCAGACACACACACACACACACAACCATAAATGAATACAAAGAGGTACTTAAATCCACACACCCAAAGAACTAGTGTATGATGAAATTTCAAATTCTAATTTTGTTGTTTCAGGATGAGACCCACTGCTGAATGCTACTGGAAGGATTGCCAGGCAGTTCTGAAACCAGCCGAGGTATGTTTATACAGGTCATGTGCTGTTCTGGGCTTAACCCTTTACCGGCAGCCCCATACTTGAATGTGTCGTAAATGACGCATTCGACATGCATACTAAAACCAGGCCTGGTATGACAAGAAAAATCAGCCCACGGGGATTTCCCGTGGCCCTTACACAGCCTAGGTATGATCCCATCCGTAGCTGAAGAGATCTACACGTGTCCCATTTGATTTCATTGAGAACTGCGCGATCGAAAACTTACGGAAATACACGCGCGCCGACAATGCCATCTGCCTCCGTCAAAACGTCGTCAGATGCATTTCCTCTTGCGCAGTGAGTTCCTTGGGTCCTCAGATGACTTCTCTGACGAGGACCTAGCAGACCTTCGCTCTGGGACCGCCGACAGATAGATAAATACTTCGTTCCAGCCGCCGATGCGAGCGAATTTCAAATTGCGGAGCGGAGCGCACGCCAAGTAAATTCTCGCGCAAATATCGGGAGCTCCAGCCGCTGAAGACGATGTCATCGTGATGTACCTGGAAGAATCTGATGGTGCTTATGGTGGGAAAGCCATCAAGAGTGATCCCCGTGTCGACATTCCCCCAGAGACGAAATTTTAGGCCATCGACTTTCTCCGTACCTGAGTGACGGCAGCGAGAAATAAATAATAGTACCAGACTTCCAAGAAAACATAACTTGCACATACAAAATGTGCCTTCGTTGTGAGTTATTGGCATCCTTCTCAATGTCATGGATTTCATATACAAAATGCACTTGCCGGTAAAGGGATAAGCTGTGTTCACAACTGCATGGCGGGTGGACGCGATACTCTTGCGGTTCATCCGTGCCCAAATGCGCACTCAGGCTTTCACAATAAGCAGCAATCCGAGTCTTATTGAACGAATGCGACACCTTCGAGTACTATTGTTTCGACCCCACCAGTGAAAGTGGCTGGCATGCATGCCGGTACGCGCCTGATACGCGCTGAAAAATCCAATTTTGAAATTTCCCTTTCAGTGCGTTTTCACACGCATTACGCCCCAAAAGCCAGCAAAAATACGCACAAACACATGGTTTCACACGTACACGCGCCAGTTGTGAACACTGGTTACGTCATGTCATGTCTGGTTATGTCTAGGTCTTACAGTAACGGGTCTATCTGCCCGGTCTGGAGGTCTAGATCTTATCGTAATGTTTTTGTCTGGTCTGAAGGTCTAGATCTTATCGTAATGTTTTTGTCTGGTCTGAAGGTCTAGATCTTGTAGTAATGTATCTGTCTGGTCTGAAGGTCTAGATCTTGTAGTAATGTATCTGTCTGGTCTGGAGGTCTAGATCTTGTAGTAATGTATCTGTCTGGTATGGAGGTCTAGACCTTGTAGTAATGTATGTGTCTGGTCTGGAGGTCTACATCTTGCAGTAATGTATCAAGTCATTCATACGGTTACTGCAGAATGCAACATACCAGTTGATATCCAGCCCTGCGCTAGCTTTCCTGCGATTATCTTACTTTTCAGTTCCCCTTTCATTTTTTTCTCCCTCCCCTCTATTACCACCATGTCTGGCTATCACCGCATCTCCCTTTCATTTTTTTCTCCCTCCCCTCTATTACCTCCATGTCTGGCTATCACCGCATCTCCCTTTCATTTTTTTCTCCCTCCCCTCTATTACCACCATGTCTGGTGATCACCACATCTCCCTTTCATTTTTTTCTCCCTCTCCTCTATTACCGCCATGTCTGGCTATCACCGCATCTCCCTTTCATTTTTTTCTCCCTCCCCTCTATTACCGCCATGTCTGGCTATCACCGCATCTCCCTTTCATTTTTTCTCCCTCCCCTCTATTACCGCCATTTCTGGCTATCACCACATCTCCCATTCATTGGCTAGTGCCCCTTGATTGTGAGTAAACAAATAATTAAATTATTTAAATAATAATCTGTCTGTCCAGCAGGTCTACAGTTGTGGCAAAACTAATCCGCCTAGTACTATACAAGCTACGGTTAGCTAAGCACAGTACATGTGCTGCATGCACTACCACTCCTACACTCCATTCATTGGAAACTGGCACCCTAACTTTTTGGTGTCTCTCTCACATAGTTGTAGATATCGTGAAAACAACAGTACATCCTGCATTGTGTGACCCGTGCAACTACTCATTGCCACATTTGAGGCCAGAAAAGTTCAAGAGCAGGGAAATAGAAATAAAGCCAGGTTTTACAAAATTAGGACAGATATGCCATGGCAAAATGTATGGAGACGCAGATCATAAACCCAGATTTGTGAGATTTAGAGTGGGTTTTTGATCCTCAGTTCGGCCCAAATCCGACTTTCAAAAACCAGCGGGACAGTTTCCGATGAATGGACAGTAGTGTAGCCCAGAAAGTCAGTCATTGTAGTGCAGAGTACATGCCCCGATGTCAGGTCTGTATGTACACTCAGTACAGTGCTAGACTTAACTGCAGTAGATCAGAGTGTAGTGTAGACTGGTCAGTGTAGTGTAGACTGGTCAGTGCAGTGTAGACTGGTCAGTGTAGTGTAGACTGGTCAGTGTAGTGTAGACTGTTCAGTGTAGTGTAGACTGGTCAGTGTAGTGTAGACTGGTCAGTGTAGTGTAGACTGGTCAGTGTAGTGTAGACTAGTCAGTGTAGTGTAGACTAGTCAGTGCAGTGTAGACTGGTCAGTGTAGTGTAGACTGGTCAGTGTAGTGTAGACTGGTCAGTGCTGTGTTGACTGGTCAGTGCTGTGTTGGCATGCATTCCACCATACCACCATGAATGATGAAGTATCGCCAGTGAACAGGTGAACCCATACCATACCATCATGAATGATGAAGTATCGCCAGTGAACAGGTGAACCCATACCATGCCATCATGAATGATGAAGTATCGCCAGTGAACAGGTGAACCCATACCATACCATCATGAATGATGAAGTATTGCCAGTGAACAGGTGAACCCATACCATACCATCATGAATGATGAAGTATCGCCAGTGAACAGGTGAACCCATACCATACCATCATGAATGATGAAGTATCGCCAGTGAACAGGTGAACCCATACCATACCATCATGAATGATGAAGTATTGCCAGTGAACAGGTGAACCCATACCATACCATCATGAATGATGAAGTATCGCCAGTGAACAGGTGAACCCATACCATGCCATCATGAATGATGAAGTATCGCCAGTGAACAGGTGAACCCATACCATACCATCATGAATGATGAAGTATCGCCAGTGAACAGGTGAACCCATACCATGCCATGATGAATGATGAAGTATCGCCAGTGAACAGGTGAACCCATACCATACCATCATGAATGATAAAGTATTGCCAGTGAACAGGTGAACCCATACCATACCGCAGTATCCATGGCAATAGACAGATGTGTTCGGCAACCACTGTAGATCTTATAATAATACGTCTGTCTGATCAGTACGTCTTTGTTGTGTAGTAATGTATCTGTCTGGACTGTACGTCTTTGTTGTGTAGTAATGTATCTGTCTGGACTGTACGTCTTTGTTGTGTAGTAATATATCTGTCTGGACCGTACGTCTTTGTTGTGTAGTAATGTATCTGTCTGGACTGTACGTCTTTGTTGTGTAGTAATGTATCTGTCTGGACTGTACGTCTTTGTTGTGTAGTAATGTATCTGTCTGGACTGTACGTCTTTGTTGTGTAGTAATATATCTGTCTGGACCGTACGTCTTTGTTGTGTAGTAATGTATCTGTCTGGACTGTACGTCTTTGTTGTGTAGTAATGTATCTGTCTGGACTGTACGTCTTTGTTGTGTAGTAATGTATCTGTCTGGACTGTACGTCTTTGTTGTGTAGTAATGTATCTGTCTGGACTGTATGTCTTTGTTGTGTAGTAATGTATCTGTCTGGACTGAACGTCGTTGTTGTGTAGTAATGTATCTGTCTGGACTGTATGTCTTTGTTGTGTAGTAATATATCTGTCTGGACTGAACGTCGTTGTTGTGTAGTAATGTATCTGTCTGGACTGTACGTCTTTGTTGTGTAGTAATGTATCTGTCTGGTCAAGAGGTCTACAGTCAACATGGCTAATAACGACTGCGGATATAACGATAATTTGCGAATAACGACAGCATGTCCATGCCCAGAACAAAGTCCCATCGAAATGAATACCGTATTTTCCGGGGTATAAGCCGCCCTTTTTTTCGCTAAAAATCGGACCAAAATCGCCCCTGTGGCTTATACACCGAATATGCTTGCGCGAATGAATGCTAAGCATACATCAGTATGCATGCTGACGTCATGTGACATGTCATTCGACTCAGCTTCGCGCCTGTGTTGCTGATCAACATCAGTGGCAGCGAGACTGAAGATAGTGCAGATGACATGGAGTGATCTGTAGTGAACACAGCAATACACCAACATCTCTGCAGCAACCTGTGGTGCACTAACACTTCATAATCTGATCTAACATGGTATTTAGCTCCATAACCATAATAAATTTGTAGAAAGGCCATTTGTCAATGAGTGTGAAAAATCTTGGTTTGTGGGTGCGGCTTATACTCCGAGTACCAACTTTTAGTCAATATTTTGCCTCAAAAAGGGGGGTGCGGCTTATACCCCGGTGCGGCTTATACCCCGGAAAATACGGTACAATGAGATTTCATGTATAACGACACATCTCGAATAAGGACACTTTCTGATGCCCCGCCAAGTGTCGTTATACGCAAAGTTGACTTAAGGTCTTGTAGTAATGTATCTGCCTGTGATCTGTCTGGTGAGCCACTGTATGTGCATGAAATTTTCGGACAGAACTACTTTCGGACAAAGCCAAATTTTGACCTTTTTGTACGGATTTTATTTTCGTACAGTTCTGCATGCTAAAACAAATGCACGTATTTGCATGCAGAACACGGGGTGCAAGGCGCATTGCATGAGTAAAATAGAGAGTGGAATAGAGAATAGAATAGAGAGTAGAATAGAGAGTGGTATAGAGAGTGGAATAGAGAAGTAGTATGTGTCGGGCGGGTTCTGTGGC